TTTCTATTAACATATATGCTTTACTATTACTTTCAAGTTGCTACAGTATTTTGTCTTTTAATTTTGCTACAGTAATGTTATAGTGACTTTGCAACAGTAATTCTGCTACAGTGATCTTCTTCCTCTTCCTACTCTTACTGTCAATGATTTATTGGGAATAAAAATGGCCTCACTCCTATTTCTCAGACACAACCTAACATCCCACATGCGACTTGGGTGCCTAACCATAGGAACAAAAGAAAATCATTATAACAAAATTAATATAACACATTCAAAGTAACATTAGTATAACAAAATTAAATTATAATTACATAAGCAACAAGAATTAATAATAGATTAGCATATAAATCAACATAATAGTTTTAAGCTACCATAACTTGGCTCTGATACCAATAATACTTAGGATCGTTAGACTAATAAGCGAAAACTTTTATTTAATACAAAACAAGAATTTACAAGATTTACTTATAGAGGAAATGGAGAGAATTGAAGAAGATGAAAGGAGATTTACAAGAGAAAAAGGTAGAAAGAGTGTCNTTATAGAGGAAATGGAGAGAATTGAAGAAGATGAAAGGAGATTTACAAGAGAAAAAGGTAGAAAGAGTGTCTGAGGAAAGAGGAAGGGGTATGAAAAAGGTGTATCCAACAGGCTGGATGAACACCTGTATAAAAAGAAGCCGGACATGAAATTTGGATTTCAAAAAATTAAAAAATTTCCTATTCACAACTTTAAGCTATTTACTGACGTCAATACATACCTCATCATCATTGTTTGTGATGTCATAACTTACGTCACAATTTTAATTATTATTGGTGACGTCATTNTCTGAGGAAAGAGGAAGGGGTATGAAAAAGGTGTATCCAACAGGCTGGATGAACACATGTATAAAAAGAAGCTGGACATGAAATTTGGATTTCAAAAAATTAAAAAATTTCCTATTCACAACTTTAAGCTATTTACTAACGTCAATACATACCTCATCATCATTGTTTGTGATGTCATAACTTACGTCACAATTTTAATTATTATTGGTGACGTCATTGTTTGCGTCACTCCTTTGCCACCTTTTACTATTGACGCTTTACGTGTAGATTAAATTATATAATTCAACATTATTACTGTCTTGGAGATTTATCTCCATATCTTAATTTTCAGGAGTATAACCTGTAATAGGAGTATATCCCTGTGAATCCATAAAGTTGTCATCAGAGTTAATAAGAGTGTTGGTTTTCCTATTATCCCNTCACTCCTTTGCCACCTTTTACTATTGACGCTTTACGTGTAGATTAAATTATATAATTCAACATTATTACTGTCTTGGAGATTTATCTCCATATCTTCATTTTCAGGAGTATAACTTGTAATAGGAGTATATCCCTGTGAATCCATAAAGTTGTCATCAAAGTTAATAAGAGTGTTGGTTTTCCTATTATCCCCCTCAACTTTATTTTTGCCCTTATCTCTTATGGTCATTGTAGAATTATTGATGAAATGTATCTTCTCAGTTTTGCCCATCTTGAAAGTGGACATCATTTGAAGACGTATTTCCTCCATAACTGCCGCTTTAAGCTACTTAGTTATCAGATGAGATTTTTCTTTAAGAATTTTTTATTTAAGAAATTCAATGGGATTAAAAGTGTGTTTGGAATGACTTCAAANAAGCTACTTAGTTATCAGATGAGATTTTTCTTTAAGAATTTTTTATTTAAGAAATTCAATGGGATTAAAAGTGTGTTTGGAATGACTTCAAAAAAAAAACACTTTTAGAATTTTTGACTAACCATAAGTCATTTTCTAAAAACATTTAGTGTTTGGGATAACTTCTTAAAAACACTTTTAAATAAGTAAAAGTAATTTTAACACTTAAATAAGTTAATAAGGAGTAAAAAAAAAATAATTTTTCCTTTTTATAAAACACTTTTTTTTTCACGGTCACACCCCCTGCCTCCCCGACATCTACAAACACACCAATGATCCTCGCCTTCAATCACCTCACAGATCACCGACGATGACCACCAACAACAGTCGAGACTGTATTACCATCAACGATGTCAGATGTAGCCTCCTTTGTCACAGATTTTTGGTTTATTGTTGATCAAGATCCACTGCAATATAGGTACAATCTCTTTATTTTAAGTGATTTTATAGCTTCTATTTCACAGGTCTATTATCACAAAGCAACAATTCTATTTTTTGTTTGATTTCAGATGGGGTGTGTATGAAGGGAGGAAAAGGGGTTGAATTTTCTTTTGCCTAATTTACAGTTTTTACTGGGTTTATGATGCAAAAGCTCTAATCCGATAACATGTTTTCGTTTTTGGTCTCTTGGGAGTTGATAAAATAGAGGAAAACAAAGAAAACATGACAAATTCTTGAAAATTTGTCTTTTGGGTTATAGAATTTTGAAAGTCCTCATCTTGACTGCTATGAAGTTGTAAGCCACATGGTTGTTCTCAAATATTTTTTTAATGTATTATTTGTTTGTTTGTCAGGAATTCTATTGTCTTTACAAGAATTCGTTTGAGGTTTTTTGGTAACATTTATGATGAAATTTGTAGAAATCGTTGAATGATTTTGGGAAAAAAATATTTTTATTTGATTCATGATTACTATGAGAGTTCATTACATATTAGATCTGTGATATCTTTATGTCTACTGCCAACCAACTATTTGATTTATGGCCAAGCAGAATGAGCTCGACAAAAGCGCTAATAAGTGGAAGTAAAATAAGAAAAAACTCTTAAGTTTTCGTTGAATTGGAACTTTGACAAAGGGCTATTATTATTTCATTTCTCAAGTTTTGGTTCTTGGGACTATTACTTCTGATTTTAGCACAATTTTTCTCAAGTATTGATGATTGTTTTAAATTTTGTGTGTGACATCATGCCTCGAATTTTCATAAACCCGAGGAGTGAGTGAAAAAGNCATTTCTCAAGTTTTGGTTCTTGGGACTATTACTTCTGATTTTAGCACAATTTTTCATTTTAATGTTACAATTCTTTGTTATGGTATTGATGATTGTTTTAAATTTTGTGTGTGACATCATGCCTCGAATTTTCATAAACCCGAGGAGTGAGTGAAAAGGGAGAAGAAAAGTAAATGAAAGGTCATTAGGTTGGATAAATTGGTTTCTCATTCATTTCCCATGTTTTCTCAAAGTTTTTCAAGCCACTTTTCTTCCATTTTTAGCCTATTTCTTCAAGGTTTCTAAATCCCTCCTTTTGACATCATTCCCACCTATTTAAAAGGTGTTTTACACACTTAACAAATCTTTTAATTTTTCATAAAATTTTGACATAANAAAGTAAATGAAAGGTCATTAGGTTGGATAAATTGGTTTCTCATTCATTTCCCATGTTTTCTCAAAGTTTTTCAAGCCACTTTTCTTCCATTTTTAGCCTATTTCTTCAAGGTTTCTAAACCTCTCCTTTTGACATCATTCCCACCTATTTAAAAGGTATTTTACACACTTAACAAGTCTTTTAATTTTTCATAAAATTTTGACATCACCTACTTTATTTTCAAGCCTTTTTCGCACCTAATATTCACAATATTTCATATGCATTATTATATCACAACCCACCCTCACTCAGTGGCCACAATCTATGTAAATTAAATATATATCCCTTGTTCTCAACATACACATCTAATTGTCTCAATACACACACACACACACACACATATATATATTTTGTTAAATGGGGGTGCAACACGAGGACTTTTCAAGGGATCACCCATCCTAGTACTACTCTTGCCCAAGCACGCTTAACTGCGGAGTTTTGATGGGATCCTACATGTGATACTCATTACATAAAATATCCTACATATCAAGTGGGTTTACACTCTTAAACTTTAAAATGACCCAATGTCTATAATCCATTATTTTTTTAAATTGAAATACAAGTCATTTGGGCTTATGCCCATACATACAAAATATGCCCAAAGGCCAAATATCCATTTAAGTCCCTTTTTCCTCCTTCCTTTAAGACTTCCTCAACTCTTAAGTATTGGGAGCCTCATCTGTAATATGATATCCCACGAATGGGTCAGCTCAACTGCTGGTATGACAAAGTGCTAATACTAGGAACAAATTTAAGGCGTGACATGTCCAAGTGTATATTTTTAAAAGCTACAACCCTGTAATCCCTCAATGCTATGCAATGTCAATATGCATGACACACTCATACAACTCTATGCCACCCATCACGATCCGCCCCCATCTATCCGTGAGTACTGTCATTAGCTAGATTTTGAGTTTTTCACCACAGGATCTACACCCTCATAATGCAAAGCACCAAGTGCTCAATCCACACTATATTCCAAGGATTCGTGTATGCCAAGATGCCTCGATTTTTCTCAATGTGAATTCTATGAAATATTTCATCAAACACCTTAACTATATGAATGTGAAGCCCCATTTAATGGATTAAACATATGATCAAACTTCATATTTATTACTTTCACAATTTCTCAAAAAAATTACAAATACACAAACTACCAACTCATGTAATAAATCATAACTCTCAAACCATAAGAGTTTCTCTACATGAACATAAGCTAGAATATAATAATCCAATACATAAGCAATATACACCTTACCATAGCAACAAATTATCAAGAAACTCAAAAAAAACAAAAGTACTTAAACCACAAATTCTAAGTTTTTAAATCAACTACCAACTAAATGATTTTCTAACATCAAATAAACACCTAAATCATCCAATCAACACATAGGAAGACAAGAAAACTTAAATCTATTCCCAACTTAGCAAAATATCATACCTAAAATGTTTTTTCTCAAACCAAGAGAGTTGTAGCTTTATAGCTGAATCGCTTGGTGAGAATATAGCCCTTGTTGAGAGGAACAACTTCTTAGAAGGAAGTCTTGCAAGAATCTTGACCTAAAAATGAGTTTTGGTGGCTTGAAGCTTGAAGAATCTAGGATTTTTCTTCATTTTTCCTCCAAAAATATGTACTGACCTTTCTCAACCCAAAAAATGATATTTTACACTAATAGAGTTGTATTTATAGTGGAGGGGCAAAGGTACAGAATGACCCTTTTTTCCTCGATGAATCCAGGACCCTGTTACATTATAACTCGTCCCGAAACGCCTCAATTTGATATTTTATTTTAATAAAAGTTTTTAAAATTATTTTAAATAAAAATTTTCAAAAATATAATTTTTCGCTAGTGGCCGGGTTTGGCCGGTCCCACCTAGGCCTCTCTTGATACTTTTTTTGTTTCATTTTTAAAACTATTTTTGTTTAGGTTCAAATTCACACAGTAGGTGTATTTTAATATTCTAAGCATGTTTTTCTTCTATGACATACTCAAATTATTCTTCTAAACATTACTTATGCCTAAATGATGCATATGTAATGCCCTACCGGCAAATGATGCATGAATAGTGTCCTACCGGCAAAATTAAAAAATTTTTNTCTAAACATTACTTATGCCTAAATGATGCATATGTAATGCCCTACCGGCAAATGATGCATGAATAGTGTCCTACCGACAAAATTAAAAAATTTATCCACACTTATTTAGATATCTACATGTGATGTCTAGATGCTTATGGGTACATGACCCCATCTCAGTTCCCACCATCTACTTTTTGAAATTTCAACACTAACTCGTCTTATCTTTTTTAATTTCTAATGTGTATTGATACTTGGCCCTTTGACATTGAAAAACTTATAGATGATTGTGTGTTGAGAGGTGTGGACTTCCAGGTTATGCATGTGTATAGGGAGGCGAATGGGATTGCTGTTGGATTGACAAATCAGGCAATTTAGACTAGATGTTATGCTAATTTTTTTGGTTTTTTGTGTTTGGCTGGTGAGATTAAGATGGTTTTGTTGCAGGACTTTAGGAGTTTGCCAGTTGTGCGGTTTAAAATGGCATTGGTTTATGATGACATAGGTTAAGGTGTTAGGGTTCCTAGTGTTATACGTGCTAATGTTGGAGTGATGATGATGGCATTTGGAGCAGTCTGAGAAGCATCGTTGTTGTTGTTGTTTTTGAAACCCAATCTGGATGTTGCTTGTTGATGAAGGTCTGGTACCATGACAACAATGAAGATGCTTTCAAGGATTTTTGAAGGACTAAAGCCAGAATGTATATTTGAGAATTGTATTCTTTTGATTCTTGTAATTTTTTGATTCAATCTATAAAATTGCATTTCCCAAAAAAAAAATAAAAAATTGATTGACATTAACTACCTTACTTTTCAGCAGTTTTGAAGCTCAATTATTTGTATCATTACATCCATTTATCCATGCCTTGGTTTACAAATTGGTAGATATAATTTTCTTTTTTCTTTTTTGGTTTCATGAAACAATTTTGCTTTGACATGAACCTATAGTTTGATTTAACAATCAATTTTGCTAATATTATATGAGTTTGTTCAATTTAGTTGTTGAGTTTAATTATTATTATATGGGTTGTGCTAATAGTCCATATACTTTGTGATGTTACTTTAGATGGCTTCTGGCAGTTGTAGTAATGACAAAGATAAAGAAAGCTAGACCGCAGAGAGTCATATTTTTTTTTTAAATTATGTGTTACGAAGGTGGATAATACTTCGTTGGACTATGTAGTTTTTTCGTATGATACTTTTAATAATATGATATTTTTGTGTATGATATTTTTTTGTGTATCAATGTATGTGTAGTGTTCGTTTGTAAATGTGCATTCAGTGTTATTAACAATTGTGACAAATAAATTTTTTTACATTCAAACATATTTTTTATAAAATATTTAAATTTAAGCATTTTTTATTTTGAATATCCAAACAATTCTTATTTAATGAAAGTTTTTTTCTTATAAAACACTTTTGATAAACACTTATTGAAAAAGTATTTATCAAAATTCATAAGTCATCCAAAACGCACTCTAAATCTAGTGTTTCTTGTGCCTTTAA